CAGTCACGTTGTTGGTTCTCAAGCACAAGTTTCATGGCACCACATGTACATGATGGAATAAATTCAAAATTGAGAAGTTCATCAAAAAAACTTTTCAACTTAGAGAAGTAAAGGCTGACGGAATCATCACCTTGGTTAATGTTGTGAATGGATTGCTTCAATTCAAAGATTTTTGGCCCATTGTTTTGGGCAAAACGTTGTTCGAGTTCAAGCCATAGTTCATTGGCAGTCTCAACATAAACAACGCTGTTTTTTATCTCAAGAGACAGTGCATTTTGAAGCCAGGTTACAACCATGTCATTGCATTCAAGCCATGGTTCTAACAAGGCATCAGTGGAGGAGGGTTCAAGAAGAGTACCATCAATGAAACCCAGTTTCTTTTTTATTCGGAGTGAACAGCGCATGGTACGTGCCCAAGAGTGGTAGTTTTTAGGGGTGAGAGGATGGTTGGTGAGTAGTGTTCCTGGACCATCATTCTCGTTGAGAAAAAAAGGACTAGCAGGGTCTTTTGGGTTACGATTGAAAGGGGGTTTTTGATCTTTGGAAGCCTTTGTTACTGGCTCAATCAAAGGTGGGATGGGATTTTCTCGGGTGGGTGTTTTATCTTCGAAAGCCATTGTTAATGCTCTGATACCATAACGAAAATGGTATTTGCAGAGAGATAAACGAAAATGCAGGGAAGCAGAGAGTTGTTGAAAAATGTGTTTGCACTATTTTTTAATACATTTACAACGTGTTGAGTAATCAATTTATAGCAATAATAAAGAATCAAATAAAGCAATTCTAACTAATTTGTATAGACTGTATGAAACAGAAAACACAGCTCATGGTGAAACAGAAATACAGCTCATGATATTCTGGAATCATCCTTATTGTGCTGAGATATTTTAGCTGTGCTGGAGCATTTGTCTGAGGTGGAGCATTTGTCTGAGGTGGCTTGCTATGATAAATCTAACACTGAGGGAACCGGGTCGGTGTGATCGGGTTGATTTTTGGAGTGGTGCGGCGGCGGGGCTCGGGACTGGGGCGGTCTATTGGGCAGCGAGAGGGGTGAGTTCGGCGGCAGTGGCGGGTGCATTTGGTGGACTGGCGGCGGGTGCAGCAGTGGCGGCAAAGAAGGTGATAAAGAGATATGTGCCGATTTGAGAGGGATTTGTATGGTTTCTTTGAGAAAGTTTCAATTTCGACCTGGTAGAGATTAAAAAAATTCCATTGATGAATGAACGTTCTGATTGAATTATGAATTATGATTCATGAAAGGAGGGCGGTTCATATGATCAGCTTGAACTGATTTGCTAATATTTATTTTAAAATTTTAGTTTTGTTTACAAAAACATAGGGAAAAAAAAAAAAAAAAACGCCGCAAGAAAACTAATCATTTCCAAGGGCGCAAAATGCCCTCAAAAATAGTAATTTACTGTCTTTTAATTACAAGAGTAAACTATCTCAAGGCATAAACAAAAATTTTCGAGGGCTTTCTGCAGTTTGAAATACAAATATGCGATATGTAATACGAAGTTGAGAAAGTCCCTTCCAAAATAAGATGCATTGCCATTTGGTTGTAGGACAAAGCAATTTCAAGAACATATTTACTAAAACTGCTATGTTGCGCAGCTTCAATTCGAGTATAATTGCATGCTACTGTTAAATTTTATGCTTATTGTTTAATGATGGTCACTTGGAAGCAATAATAAATAAAAAACACAGAGAGTCTTCTAAACAGCAGTTGGTTACTTTGCATGCTGTTTACTATTGCAGGGAGTTAATTCTAGTTGGAATGTTTTGCCTAATTCACATTTTAGTGTAGTGGACTGTTGAGGCTGAAATCTGTTTGCATTTTACTTTCGGCATAGGCCACCTATTTTTTGGATGCAAATGCTGGTGCAGATGGTGAGGTTGGGGCTGTTGTTTGAATAAAGGGATTCCTCTCCAGAAAGGGTCTTCTCTTCCTGGTTTTGCTGCTTCATGTTCGTTAGGATGTACCCAGCCTATGCAGATCAGGAGGTGGTGCAAAAATGCAGATGTGGAGTCTGTCTATGCTGCTGTTTGACGATGCAGTGCGTGCTGTGCATGATGGGCAGTTTGTTGTGCGAAAGAGTCGGCTCTACAGGGCTGTTAGTGTTATAAGTTGTATTATTTATTATTTATAAAATTATCATTTACCCAAAAAAATTGTTGTTTAAATTTTTTTAATTAAAAATATTAAAGAATCTTTAAAAATATAATTAATTACAAATCTTACAATGGTAACTAGTCTGCCCTTGCAAAACAGAGGATCTTGCGGCTAAACACGTTTATAAAAGAAATTTGGCGGCAAATTAGCTATGGTCAGGATCTCAAAAGAAAAAAAATACTAAAGTGGGAGACTTTTCCCATTTTGAATAATCCTTGTGATCCCATGCAATTAGCTCCCTACATATGCAGTGAAGTAGACTAGTAAAGGTTTAGGAAAAATGGAAAATACCCACCCTTGGGGTAGCTCAGGTGGTAGGACTAGGGCTGTTAGCCGAGCTGAGCCATTCTACTCGGTTCAAGAAAAGTTCGAGCTCAAGTGGCTTGGCTCAGCAAGCGAGTCGAGTTCGAACAGCCAAAGGTCGGCTCGTTAGGCTTGCGAGCGTTTGTGAGCTCGAGGGCTCTTATGTGATAGTTTTGAAACTAATAATGGGCGATATGTCATTTTTTAGATTTCAAAAGTACTCACTCATCTTCTTCTCCCTCTCAATTACGTGTCCATTCTTCAACCCTTTCTTTCTCTTTTCTATAAGAAATGCTACATGTACAAAGACTCTTAAGTCTTTGCATAAAGTGATGTGACAATTGCCACACCACTAGTTTGTGAAAAGAAAGAGAAGATTGATGTAAAATTAGTTGCCACACCATTTTGTACAAAGATTTCTATTTCTCTTTCTTTGGATTTCCATTAAGTCCAGCCAAATCACATAAAGCCTCCCCCACATGGATAACTCCCCCAAAACCCCATTAAGAGTTTGTGTTGATTAATGTTGATGAAAGTGAGAGAGTAAGACAACCTAAAGCTGTCTTTTTGCCCTCCAATCTTTGATTTTTTTGATACCCATTTGGTTGATTTTGTATTTTCTGATTTGGGTTTGTTGCAATTTGCCTGGGTCTCATAATAGAAACGAGTTTTTGTTGATTAATGCGGATGAAAATGCGAGAGTAAGACACTCTAAAGCTGCATTTTTTCGCTTCAATATTTGATTTTCTTGATACCCATTTGGTTGATTTTGTGTTTTCTGATCTGGATTTGCTGCAATCTGCTCGAGCTTTGGTCAAGCTCGAGCCTGAGCTCCAGTGTCGAGCTCGAGCTCAATCTTGATTTTTCAAGCTCGACACTGTAGCAATTGAGCCGAGCTTGATTAGCTCCAAGCTCGGCTTGTATACACCCTGGGTAGGATGTATGGTTAAAACACATGGTCTCAAATTTAGATCCCTCTGGTCTCAAGTTTAAATCCCTCTAACTCTCAAAATTTAAGCAGGTGATCATAGCTGTGGGATGCACTGTCAGTCACCTACAGGATTGGTCAATTTAAGTAGGTAAATATGGTTGTGAGATGCATTACTAGTCACTTACATGGATCAGAGATGCTATGTTAGTAGTGTAAAGGGATTAGTGAGGTGGTGTAAGATGTCGTTGACACACTTTAAAAAAAAAAAAAAAAAAAAAAAAAAAAAAAGGGCTTGGAAAATACTCCCTTTGGTTGATAGGATTCTTGATAAGACAGTAGGTTCTAGAATACTTAGGAAAGGTAGGGATTTTCTTTCATATTTAGATTGATTCCCATCTCACATTTTTCTTTTTCACTTCAATCTCCATTTTCCCCCTTGATCCCATATTTGATTAAGATTTTACTTCATTTAGGAATATAATTATTAGATTCTATAATTAACATCTCAATAACTATATAAGATTATTCCTTTTAAAATATTTAGACAAATTCGGGTACTGTAGATGTTGAAATGAATGAATGTTTAGGTTTAGAATCAAGCTGCCAAATGAGGTTTGTCTTACTTTAAATAATTTCTCTAATATTTAAAATAAAAATATTAAATACAAACATTGTCGTACAAAATTTTATTATAAGGGTATTTTGGTCTCTTCATAATAAAACTAAAATATCTTTATTATTGTTGGTCCCTCTTTTGAATGGCTTGTACGTTGGAAGTTACGAAAACATAATGCGCCATGAGGTGAGAGTCCACGTATGTATTAGAGAAAGACAAGAAACCAAATCCGCATATGCTACTGCCATATGAAACATTGCTTTTATGTGGGCTAAAGAGCCCTACCGTTACCACATTTTCTCAACGAAACATCGCACTAACGTGCCAACTTCCTCCAATTGTTCTTCACTATCAGAAAGTCAGTCAAAGAAGCCCTGGTAATCTAGTATGTCAATGAATCTTCGCTCAACCACCATAAGATGGTTTGATGGTAAAAGAACAAAAAGATTCAACATAGGTTTCTAAGTTTGAATCCTCCCAAACTCATTAAGAGAATTTATTCGGTCGTTCACTTTAAGGCCTTAAAAGATTAGTTAAAATACACATAAGTTGGTCTGGACAGTCCCGATCACTAAAAAAAAAAAAAAAAAAAAAGAAGAACTTTGGCTCTCTTATTAGCATATAAGGTAAACTATGGTGATGAATAGATTTGGACAATAATATGATCAATTTTGGACCAAAGAAATGGTCATGTTCTTAAATGACAGTAGTTATTGAATGCCCAAAACATAATTATGTGGTAAATATAATCATTGTAGCGTGTTTACTATTTTTTGTTTTGTTAATTAATTATGGATTAGAATGCTGAAACCTTGAGGATTATTAGTGAAATAGAAAGATATAAATCTTGAGTCCTTGACCATATGATTTCATAATATATAGCACGTGTATATCCTTTGAAAATATGGTAAAAATGAAAATGAAAATCATCTATAAATAGACATGCTACTTCGTTAACACAACTTGCACAACTCCAAAACCTATCCCAATAAACCCATCTTCTAATTCGTCCATTTTCATTATCTTCAGTTCTTTGAGTCCATTTGCCATTATGGGTTCTTTCCCTACTATTACCATTCAAACCATTTTGGGAGCACCAGGGGTAAAGGATAACAATCTCAAGGTGCTAACAAAAACAAAAAATGGTGGATTGACTGAATGCATGAAGTCAATCATTTATAAAGAAGATGTGAAAGAAGCCTTTTACCTTCTTGATTTAGATGTTGTCATGTCTCTCTATGACAAATGGACTGCCAATCTTCCCATGATTCAACCATTCTACGCCATTAAATCTAACCCTGAGAAATCTCTCATCGGCACACTCAACGTGCTTGGCGCAAACTTTGATTGCGCAAGCAAAGCCGAGATTGAAACCGTTTTGTCACTTGGCGTTTCACCAGATCGCATCATCTTTGCAAACACTTGCAAATTAGAGTCTCACATTAAGTTCGCTGCAAGCGTTGGCGTTAATTTAACAACGTTTGATTCCATCGGTGAACTCAACAAGATCCACAAGTGGCATCCCAAATGTGACTTGATAATTCGAATCAAAGCTCCAGACGATAGCAAATCAAGACGACCATTGGGTTCCAAATTCGGTGCACTTCCCACGGAAGTGTCACCTATGCTTCAAGCTGCCAAATCTCTACACCTTAATGTAATCGGTGTTTCATTTCATGTCGGAAGCGCAACCAATGATGGCGACGCTTTTATTAAAGCCATTTCAGCTTCTAAAACCGTTTTCGACACCGCGGCACAGTTAGGCATGCCTAAAATGCGTGTACTAGACATCGGTGGTGGCTTTCTCGCTAACTCGCTATTTGAAGACGTTGCCACAGCTGTGAAAACTGGGCTTGAAGCACATTTTCCCAACGAGCCAGGGCTGAATATTATTTCAGAGCCGGGACGTTTCTTCGCTGAAACAACGGTGACACTTGCCGCCAACATTATAGGGAAACGTACTCGTGGTGAAGTTAGGGAGTATTGGATTAACGATGGAACTTACGGAACGTTTCACTGTGTTATACGAGATGCTCTTAATGAACCACTCGTTTGCAAGCCTCTATCTTGCAAAGGATTGAAGACTTACAGTTCCAATTTGTTTGGGCCGACATGTGATTCTCAGGACGTCGTTTTGAGGGAATATCAGCTGCCGGAACTTGAGGTGAATGACTGGCTTGTGTTCCCCAACATGGGGGCTTATACTTATGCTTTTGGATCCAGTTTTAATGGGTTTAAAACTTCTGACAATTTGTTTTATCTTGTCACCTCCAGTTGAATCATTATTTACGTGTTCAATGTTGTGATTCAGAACTCTAATTAAAATTAGGATTTATGTATGAGTAAATCGTTTCCAATAATAATTTCTTTGTTTTCTTTTCACATTTTCTTTTCCATCAATAATACTTTGTTGTGTTGAACGTACGATAAACTGGGATATGATATACATGTTTATGAACTTATAATATTGCCATGCACAAACAAGGAGACTCCGAGAGAACATTTTGTTTGACCAACCAACGAATTAACATAAAAAACTAATCGAGAGGTATAACGAGATACCACGATTTAAGTAATACAACAAGCCAATAAATTTATTTTATAGAATACATGATATATTTGAGAAATACTTATACGAGACAGGTTTCACCACCTCACTTGGTTGAAGTGGTGAGTTTGTCCAATAATAACATAACATGTGTCGTCATATATTTATAAATTTTTCTCATTCATCCACAAATCACTATAATTAATGAATAATTACCCTTAAAATATCTATGAAACAACATCACCCCTACAACTAACCAATATATTGTTGCAATCTAGATTTTTAAATTGATAAGTACCACTCTCTTCAATGATAAAGGAGAGAGAAAATATTTATAGGTGGTGTAAATGCAACGGTGGGCAATAGGGGTAAAGTGGTAACTCAGTACCTAATCTAATATCTAATTAACAAAGTGGAAACAACCCCACTTTCCCCACTCAACCCAGGATGTTTAACCAACCTTTTACATCACATACCCTGTATAACCTATAATTCTCTCATTACTTTGAATTTGTTTTCACACCTATATTTATAGGCAATACATGAGATAATTCCTTGTTTTCTCATCAATCTTGACATAATCACATAATTTACGTTAATTTAACGTTATTTGGAATGTAAAATTTAAAACATACAATCCACAAACATGAACAAAAGCTTGTTCCCTATTCGCATGGGTCAAATCTCATTGTATCCTTAGAATTACAAAAACATAAAATGAGGAAAGAAGCATATTCCTTTACGAAACAAAATATTATTTAAATATAGCATTCACATACTTCTTATCTATTTAAGGTGAGTCTGACTCTATCTTAGGCCTTGTTGAATAGGAGGATTATCTCCTCTTATAAACAAGATGATAGAATTTTAGATGGGTCTGACTTCTCACCCAATAAGGTCTTGTTGAATGAGATGATTACCCTCTCTTATAAACTAGTAGGCTTAAGTGCGCCTAATCGGTGTGGGACTCCAACAGTATCTACTCATATTTTGGGCTTTCATTTTTGTTTTATTTTTTTCTATTAATGAGGTGGGATTAATGAAGCAATATTTTCTTTCTTTCATAAATTATCACATAATTATTCAACCATTTGATAATATACTTGATAATTGAGATTAAATTTATTACTATAATTACACTCCACATAAAAGAGAAATATGTTATAAAATGAAAATGTTTCCTCTACTTACCCAAAAAAACAAAAAAACAAAAACAAAAACAAAAACAAAAAAATGTTTTCTCTGCTTGCGGCTCTACTTTCTTCTTCGTCGCTAGCAAACAATATGATATATAGAAATTTTTTTTGTCATAATACAGATTTTATTTGTGTCTTAATGTTGATTCAGAGGAAATTGATAAAAAAAATACTAATTAATTTGTTGCATTATCCATTTTTATTCAAGTTTTTTATTATAGATTTTTCCCCATAGCGAGTTAAAGAAGGAAGAGGCAATAGAGAGTTAAAGTTAGGGTTTCAGACATTTAAGAGTTTTTCTAATGACAGGTTAGATGCGGTTTAATTTAACAGTCAACTAGAAAAATCCAAACATTAGATATCGAAAATTCAATTATGAATTTCTTGTCCCCTATATATGAACATTTTACATGTGATAGATTCCAAATACAAACAAATTGCATATCCATGTGGATATATAATCACCACTCTTACATGGAAAGCTACGTAACATTTGTAAAGTTGAAGACCACAGAGTGGATTATCCTTGTATAAACATGTCCGTACAGGATGATCATCTCAGTTATTTTTAAAAATAATGTTTTATATATATAGGAAGGAGACTCTGAAGCCGATTATTCCATTGTATCAGGAAAATAATAAGGTAATCAGGAAAGGTAGGATGTCAGAAAGGCTACACGCGACAGAGCAAAGAGAGCTTCCAATAGCCTATGATTGCAAAGGCAAAGCCCTTATTAAAGGCATCGATCAATGCACCAAGCAACGATCCCATAGTGGTTCAATAATCAGATGCTCTTTCCATGCTTCCTTTTATGCAGTAATAGTCATATGCCGCAAATCCTGTGTTTTTAGCCAGGATGGATAGGCTCTTTAAGCTTGAAAGATTCTTATAAAGGGTAAGTATAAATTCTAGGTCATTAGAGGAGTCCTAAGAATAAGTTTATGTTATAAAATAAATAACAAAGGGTTGAAAGTTTCAAGAAAGAAGAAGAAAGAAAGAGTAAAGAGAACTTTGAAGAAAACTGCAGATCTGATAAATTAAAAAAAATTCGCGTACAGGTGTTTGCTTCTCTTTTATTAAGAGAAAGAGAGCTGCTCTGAACTTGCGAAAGTAAAAGAGTAAAGTTAAGAGTGCAACATGCTGCAATTACGCAAATGACTTTACTAACATTCCCCCTAAGCCATACTGTCCCTTCTCAAAAACTAATTCTGATCATTTTGTGGTTAACATCCTCCTCAATTCATACTATCTCTTCTTGGATTAATCTCAGTCTTGCAAAAAAATTCTGGACAGCAAATTCTGAACAGCAAGCAGATTCTGCAATGTTGAAAAATAATTCCTGCATTTCACTTCTTCTAGACAGCAAGCAAATTCTGCAATTTTGCAATTCTCCAAACAATTCTGTATTTCTGCATTTCACCAACAAAAAGAAATTCTAACTCTGCATTTCATCAACAGCCAATTCTGCAATTGTACAGACAATTCGCATTTCAACAACAACAATTCTGCAATAGAAATTCTAACTCTGCATTTCATCAACAGCCAATCTGCACACTCTACATTTCAACAACAGCCAATTCTGCAATTTGTACAGACAATTCGCATTTCAACAACAACCAATTCTGCAATGTGCAGACAATTCTGAACATTTCAACAGCTAATTCTCTGCAACATTTCAACAGCAGCTAATTCTGCATTGTAACAGACAATTCTGCATTTCAACAACAAACAATTCTGCAATTGTGCAGACAATTCTACAACATTTCAATAGCAGCTAATTCTACAATTCAATCAATCAACCATTCAACAACAAAAATTCTACAGCTCTGCACAGCATAATTGTGCAGACAATTCTGCATTTCATCAACAAACAATTCTGTAATTTGTGCAGACAATTCTGCATCATTTCAACAGCAGCCAATTCTACAATTCAATCCATCAACCATTCAACAGCAAACAATTCTACAGCTCTGCACAGCAAAACAATTATGCATTCACCAATCAATAACCCTTCAACAGCAAACAATCAATCAACTTCAACAAACAAACAATTCTACAATTCTGCACAGCAAACAATTCTGCATTCACCAATCAACCAACCCTTCAACAGCAAAAAAAGGGAAAACACTTACGAACTGCCAACTCTGAAACTTAACATACTGCAGTTAATTCTTACTTTCTTCTACTGATCTGACCATATTTATCTCTGCCACATTTAATTTCATTTTCAATTCTTGAAATTGAGCAGCAGATAGGGGCTTGGTTAAAATGTCAGCAATCTGAAGTTTTGAAGGCAATATTGCACTGAAAGCTTCTTAGCTAGCACTGATCCCTTATGTAGTGAGCATCAATCTCAATATGCTTTGTGCGTGCATGAAAAACAGGATTGGCTGCCAATGCTCCAGCATTGATGTTATCACACCCGATTATTGGTGAGAGCTCAAGACAACTCCTAACTCAGAAAACAAGCTGTCCAGCCAAGCCAGTTCAGTAGCTGTGTGTGCAAGTGCTCTGTACTCAGCTTCGTTGAGGATAAAGCCACCACCTTTTGCTTCCGAGAACTCCATTGAATCAAGTTGGGACCTAAGAAAACACAGTACCCACTTGTGGATCTCCGGTCATCTAAGTACTTCCCCATCAGCATCGACATAGCACTCTATACTTATAGAAGCAACTGGTCTGAATTGTAACCCATGAAACTGAGTGCCTTTGATGTATCTTAGCACTCTTTTACATGCCTGCCACTGAAGTTCAGAAGGTGCTTGAAGATATGACTAAGCTTATTTACCGTAAAGCTTATGTCGCCGGCGAGTTAAAGTCAAATATTTTAAAGCTCCGAGGTGCTTCTATAGAGACTAGGATCCAGAAATAACTCACTGTCACCTAAAACAACTTGTTTCCAACAGCCATAGGGGTTGGACACGAATGAGCATCTGTATTTTGTTTAACAAAGAATCAGTGATATATTTAGTCTGTTTTAGGTGAAGCCCTTCTGAATGTCTTGTTGCTTCCAATCCCAAGAAATAAGAAACTGATCCAAGACTTTAATGCAAACTGATGATTCAACCCTTCAATAAGTTGCTGAATTGATGATGTGTTTGAACCAGTAACAAGTATTGTCATCCACATAAATAAAGACATACAAAACCTGAGAGTTATCCTTGTAGATGAACAACTTGAGTCAGAAATTGAGTTCACAAATTTCTTTGTCCAGCAAAGCCTGCTTAAGTTTGTCAAACAGGCCTGGGGCTTGTTTCAGACCATAAAGAGCCTTTTTAAGCTTGCACACATGAAAGGGATACTGAAAACTCTCAAAACCTTCAGGTTGTTTCATAAAAACTGTTTCACTTAGAATGCCATTGAGGAAGGCATTATTGATATCAATTTGTGTATATCCCCTCCTTTAGAGACAGCAAGAGAAAAAATAATTTGGATAGTTGAGGGTTTGATAACAGGGTTGAATGTTTCAAAGTAATCCAATCCTGGAGTTTGCTGGAAACCTTTGGCTACTAATCTAGCCTTATATTTTTGTAAACTCCCATCAGCATGAAACTTGGTTCTAAAGACCCATTTGTGCCAACAATATTCATATCTGATGTTTTAGGAACTAATACCCAAGTGTCATTAGCCATTAAAA